AGAGAGGAGACAAACAAAAGCCCCCAGAGTTTGCCCTCCTCAGTGTAACTCCTCAGTTCTAGAAGGCAAGCTCCAGGTTTTCCATTTCCTCCAAGTCACACCATCCTCTGTCCAAGGCTTATTCCCTAAGGGCTTAGCTTTCATTGAAGGAAGGGCGTAGGAAGCGGGGTGGGTTCTCTGTGTGGAAAAATGATTTAGGTCTATTATCTGACTCATTTAATTTGATTTTGACCTACTAAAAAAATTGAGGAGCTCTCCCAATAGAAATCTGCTATCAGGGCCTCCCTGGTGGCACAAGGGGTTAAGACACAACCTATGAAGCTATCCACAGCCACTGCAGCACGGGTTCGATCCCCGGCCAGGGAGGTGACCCACATGGCACAGCAGACCTCTCCTGTCTCGCCCACTACTCCCCTCAGTAGTGTATTTCGTCGATCTGCCTGTTCTGTTCCCCGCTCTGTCTCTGGTGAATCCTCTGGCCTGTGCCCCAGTTATCAAGCTGACTATCTTACATAAACAAATGTATGAGGACATAAACAAAACCCCAATTTGAAAGTCACTGTAGAGCAAAAATGCTGTCATTTATGCACCTGTCTGCCATCCCCACTCAGCATGGGTTGCTAAGGGCGGGAAGCCTTGGTAGTTACGGCAGAGAAATGGCAGCGCAGGCCCAGATGTGGCCTGAACTTGCCATAGTTGGGGCTGTCCTATGGGTGATTTACCGCCCCTGGTCTCAGAACAGGAAAGAAGGAAAGAAAAGTGAGAAAAGGGGCTCCCACCACCCACATAACCACTATTGTTCCAGCTCATCAAAACAAGAGTATAAAACAGTTGCTGGAAAGTACCTTGAGTGATCCCTGGGTGGAAGCAACAAGAGAGAGGAGAAACTACTCTGAATGCTGGGCGCCAGCCGTCTCCCAAGAATTGTCCTGCTTTGTCCTCTCTTTTCCTTGCTTCTTCCAGTGGCCAAACTGCAGCTCCCATTTCTCCTGGATCCCCCTCCCTCTTATTTAAGAGAACAAGTTCTGTTCCCAGAAGCTCTGGGACCTCGAGGAGGGAGAAGCAGGACGGGACTCCAGGCCAGGGTGGAAAAAGCACAGGTTCTGGGAGGCCAGTGTGGGCCTGAATCCCAGCACATGGAGGTGTCCCTACAGCAGCGATGTCCCTACTGGTTTCTAATACTGTTTAAAATGATGGGTCCTCCCTGGTGGCCTAGGGGCTAAGTCTCAGTGCTATCACCACTGCGGCCTGAGTTCGATCCCCAGCCAGGGAGCTACCCACATGGCGCAGCAGACCTCTCCTGACTCGCCTGCTGCTCCCCTCAGCAGTGTATTTCAGTCAATCCGCCTGTTCTGTTCCCTGCTCTGTCTCTGGTGAATACTTGACCCCCACACCTCTGGCCTACACCCCAGCTCTTATATGCATAATTAAATAAAAATAAAACTTAAAAAAAATGCTGCTGGCTGATGTTCCCCTTTCTGGGGTTCTCTGGCCAACAATCTGATGACTGAACTCTTGAGTCTTGTTCTTTGCTGAGCATCAAGGTCCCCCACAGCCCCTAGTCCTCAGCCCCCAGGTCCCACAGTCCCTTCCAAAGCTGGAATCCTCCAGCTCATACCTGTAAGGGGAACAGGGCAGGCTCAGCCGAAAGATTAGCCGCAGCTCCCAGGCACTTCAAGATTGCTGCCTTTTCTCTTTAACTGCAAACCGTCACCCACCGCGCTCCTGCCTCATGCTACAGTGACATTTGACAAATGTCCTACACGGAAGCTCTGTGGATCTTCTGACAAATTCACTCTAGACGTTCTTTCAAACAGTAGCCAGATCTTTGATTTATTAAAGGTCCACACGGAAACGTCCCCGCTCTTCTCTCCCTGTCAGCACATATCTATTTAGTCAGGGTCCCCCCATGAAACCTCCCCTGGCCAGAGATGCCCAGCTCTGTCTTCAGAGGAACTGAAATCACAGGTCTGCCGGGATTCCTTAGTTTGTCTGATTGGAGAATGAGAACTAGAACAATGAGAACAATTCAGTTGAAGTGTTTCCAAGGGCATCATAGCCAAAAAAAGGTAATCCCCACCACTCAAAGGTAATCCCACCCCACCAAAAAAAGGTAATCCCCACCTGTGCTGCCTGTGACCCAGGCAGCACAGGCCACCACCTGGGAGCGCATTAGAATGCAGAATCCCAGGTCCCAGCCCAGAACTACTGATGCAGAATCTGCATTTTAACAGGATCTGCAGGAGATTTCTAATGCACATCAGGGTTTGAAAAGCACTGGTCTTAAATGCCATGAGAAATTAAAGGAACTCTCTGGAAAGGTAAAAGAATAACATTGCTAGCTCTTTAAATGAAACAGCTTCTCCAGGTAAGAAACTGTGACATGTGTGTTTAGATTCATATATGACAGAGTCAAGTATGGAACACCTACCTCTCTTCCTGGAGACTAGATCACATACTTGGGAAGAGGAAGGATGGGATGGAGAAAGATGAGAAATTTCAGCAGAGCAGCTTCTGGGATTAGTGGGATTTAAAGAAGGTTTGCTGAGTGGGTGATAAATTTGGCCACATTGCTTCTGGAGTTGGATTTATATTTCCGTTGGATGCAACAATGCAAGGAGATGGGTCTTAAAGTGGGAGAAAGAATCCCAAAATTCTTTGGGACCACGTTAGCTCTTCATAATTCAACTTTTTTTGCTGTCACTTCTTGCCCGGCACAGCGATAGGAAAATATCAAAATGTGAAATGTTCAAATACTATTTTCAGTTTAAAGATACTTCAGGTGTCATAACTCCAGTCATTTCAGATGACAGATGAACATCCTTTAGTCCAAAGACTCACAATACTTACCCAAATCCCCAAGGAGCAGCCTAACTCAGATGCTGGACCATGTCCTCAGCACTCATTATAGACTGAAGTAGAGCTTCCATATGATCCAGCAATTCCACTCCTAGGTATTTACCCAAAGGACACAGAAACATCAATTCCAAAGATCACCTGCACCCCTATGTTTATAGCAGCACAATTTATAATAGCTAAGCTTTGGAAATAGCCCAAATGCCCAAAAATAGGTGACTGGATCAAGAAGATGTGGTACATATACACCATGGAATATTACTCAGCATTCAAAAAAGATAAACACATGCAATTTGCAGCAACATGGATGGCGCTGGAAGGGATCATGCTCAGCGAAATAAGCCAGAAAGAAAAAGAAAAATACCGGATGGTCTCACTCATAGCAGGAATCTAGAAAACTTAAATAAGGGACCAGGAAAATGAACAACTATAAGAAAGTGAAAATCAAAATAAAAAAAAAACTATGAACCAGAGACACTCTTTGGGGGGTGGGGGGTGGGAGGGGAGGGATTGGGGTCAAAATAAGGGGGTTGCAATTGTATGGGGAATATAAAAATAAAATTTATTATAAAAAAATAAAATGTAGCTCAATAATCTAAAAAAAAAAGAAAATATCAAAATCAACAAACAAACAAAAAAAAAAAAACCTAAAATATCGACTCTTATTCTGAAAACTTGAAAGCATTCCATATATCAGGTTTTGTTCACAGCTCAGGAGGAAACACTAAGCTATCTGGAAATCACCCAACTCCCATTGGAAACTCCCAGTTGACACCCCCTCTGCAGGTACATGAAGTGGTTTTGAAAAGCAGGCGGTTGAGACTGAAGTGAAGAAGTCAGCCCTGAAGAAGTTGTCCCCCGCAACCCCAAAGTGGCCAAGGGCCCAGGAGCTCTGCTTTCTCCTCGCCAAGTCCTCTACTTCTTCAATGATGGGAGCTGATGCCTGCTGCAGCACCTGGGTGTGGTGGCCAGAGCTCCCGCCAGAATCTCTCCCCCATAGCACCCAGTTCTTGGACTCTAAGAGCACTGTGTCCTCCCAGTCACCTTAATACACTTCTCTGTAAGATTGGAAAAGGTAGGGCTGGGATAGGTGAAAGAGGCAGGGGCAGATTTTAGTCATAATATACCAGAATAAGAAGAGTCCAGTGTGCACTGAACTCAACCTTGATGTGCGCAGGGGAGATTGGATGTTGTGAAGGGAGAAGAGGAAACAGGGGGTGGGGGTTGAGTATGGGCTCAGCAGTCAGGGAAGGGAAAATTACAAAGAGCTGGAGGGCCTAGCTAGTCCGTGAGAAGCCCATCTGGGTTTGTTAACTGAGCTCAGGGGAGTTTGAATTTGGTGTCTTCCCTCCACAGAGACTGGGAGACAGGGTAAGGAGATGAGGATGTCTGCTGGAACAAACAGTAAGTTCTTTGGGCAGCCTTGACTTTTCCCAGGCAGGAACTTTGAGGGGGGCTAGGGTCACCCCTAGCGATGTGGCTGTGACAAACTATGTGAGTGTGTGTGCAAGTTTCCTCAGGACAACATTCAGTCCCAGTTGAGGAAAGGTCTCAGAGGGGAGGGGCCCAGCTAGAGTTTGGTCAAAGAAACCTTGGTCACTGGCCCCCGGTGGTCTCCTTCACATTCAGGGTCTGGACTTTAGGGGTCTTTCAGCAGCACCCCTCTCTGATTCTGGGGTCAGGTTCACCAACCACAAACAATGATATTCAGGGTTGTGCTGCCAGACACCCTGATCACGTGATTATTCCTCACCTAGAGAGTGTTCAGCCACATCCAGCCCTGCCTCAGCATGTTCAGTGTGGAGGGGACACCAGCTAACCCAGAAAAGGCAGGGAAATAGCCAGCTTTGGGGTTGGAATTTGTCCTGAATCCTGATCCTGCCACTCACTGTGCTTCAGCTTCCATTTCCTCAGCTATAAGCCAGGCAGAGGAGGCCTGTCTCCTTGGGCTAGTGGATTATCCCAAGAAGCTAACGTGGGTAGCATATAATGAACACTCAATAAATGTTTACTTCTTCCCTCGTCTTTTAGAAGAAAATTCAGGAAGTGCCTGATTTAATAAATAGGCTAAAGACCAAAATTCCTCTCTTAAAGTTGGTTGTTTGTAATTTAGAATCAAAATACTTTATATTTAGATTCCCAAGACCACTCACAAACACTCATTAATGCTAAATATAGATGATTTGCTACATGCTTGTAACAAAAAGCGCAGAGCAAAAAAACAACGTTTTTTGCCAGCAGTTTAGTTTTGCCAGCAGTTTCGATGTGCAAGATGTTTACAAGCGGGGCATCTGTTCTCTGAAGGGTAACTCACGCAAAACCCAGGCACCTGTGCTTCACTCTTGTCACTCATGTGGAATTTTCTGTGAAAAAGAAGACTTTTTAGTGCCTGACTTGAGTTCAGTTCATGTCTTGACTCCTCCTAATCACATCCTGACTAGAAAATTACTTAGTGATTTTGTGGTGTGGGGCAAGTCTTTTAACCTTTCAAGCCTCAGGTCCCTCCTCTGTGAAATGGGCTAATAATGTACCAGCCTTAGTGGGTTCCTGTCAGGACTAAATGATAAAAGCATAAAAAGTCTTTGTAGGGGTATCCAGCCAAGACAGTCCCTAGGCCAAAAGCCCTCTCAGACTGTTCATTTCTGTCTGTGGAAGCTCACATGTAGTCTAGTTGGCGTTCAGGGAAAGTTTGAAGAACCAATGTAAAGTGTCAGGGAGAAGAACAGGGCTAGACTTGACATTTACGACTGTCATACTTCACATCAGTTCACACTTTATGACAGTCACACGTAGGGGCAAAATGTGCGGTCTCTGCTGAACAATTTTTACAGACCCGAGTAAGTGTGGAATCAAAGGTCACTTTAGAAAACATTTTGGTCCTGGCGACCACATGCACAGATACTAACTCAGGTCTGGCTGCCCACTGCCCACCAGTCAAGCATGAAGATCAAGGACTGGAGCAAGGAAAACAAAGGAGTATTCCGAAAGTAGTCATCTCAGAAGATGGTTGGACTGTTGTCCCAATAAACCATTTTCCTGATTCACAAAGGGAATGAGGTTATATAGGTTTGGGAAACTGGGGTTAAGAGCAAAGGAATTAAATTTCAATGGCTCCAAAGGAGATTAGAGGCATAGAAATGTGGATTTCATCAGCCAGACACAGAGCACGTTGTATGTGAACTAAGAAGAGGCTGTTCTTTGGAGGCCTGGAGTCTTAGAATTCTGTTTGTATGTCCCTCCTCTTCTGGCTTCCCAGTTCCCAGCTGGTCTGGGAGTGCAGCTCAGTTGATAAGTCTCTACACTTGCTTTGTCTTTAAAAGCAGGTCTCAGAAAAAGTTTAGATAAGTTTATTTTTCTTTTGCGCAGTTAGGGTCTGAAAGCAATTTAACCCTTTAAGCTCAGTCTCAAATTATGCATGGACACCCCTGCAGGAAGCCACATGGACCCCCAAGGTCACCTTGCAGTACTGCAGCATCCCAAGGAGTCAAAGCTCTGAGCTTAGCTAGCAGTGAATGAAAAGTGGTGGTACCCAAAAATATAGTCACAGCAGAAATGTTTCTTTACTCTCAAGGAATGCTTAATTTTGGAGGAGGGGTAAGATTCTAGAAAAACCTGTGTTATACCCTTAGGCATCAAGCAAATAGGCTTGGATTGTAAACTTTTGGGGTTTTAGAAATATGATAATGGCATCCACCTGGGGGAATAATCAGACTATAATATAATTAGAAGCCACTTGCTGGAGGACAAGACCCATGACTGGTACAAGACCAAGGCACATTCCCAAAGTTCGTGCTCTTGGGGTCAGGGCACAGGGGAGTTTCGAGGGTCAGGCAAAGAGATGGTCTGAGTTGAACTCATGGACTATGAAGTTTGGTTTGGCTCCTAAGTTTATGTATCTTTCTTTGATCAGTGAGCAGGAGAGGAGTCCACCAATTGCAGGTGGAGGCTCTGCTAGTATATGAGCAGATGTCTCTTGTTCTTCCAGTTGCTGGATTGCTGAGTCAGCTTATTTAATTTTCACCTTGAAGTCCCAGCATGGCAACCAACATGGAGCCTGAGTGACTCAAACCAGGTTCCACAACCTGACACCGCACCTGATATTAACCTCTTCATTCATTCACTCTTCCCACTGTTGTGCTTGGTACTGTTCTGCATGCTTCAGGAACAGCAGGGAACAACGTAGCTGTTCTGGTAGGCCCTGTCTTCCAGGAATGTTTTCATAGTGTGGGGGGCAGAAAGGAATCAAGAAAAATGAGAGAAGGAAATCAAAAGCAATAGAAAAGCAAGAGAGGAAGCCTATGTCAGGGCCTGGAGAAAGCCACCACACTTCTTTTGGGTGCTTCTGGGTGTTACCATGGTAACTGATGCTGAATGGCCACCATTGAAGTTGAAAGTATACTGCTGTTATTTTTGTGACATTGATGTGCAATAGTCACAAAGACTGGGCAGGCTGACTAAGACTCTCGAGCAAACTTCTAACACTGAGGAAACGACCCAGAAATCCTTATCATTTCTCAAACCTGCAAACAATTCAAATATCTCACACAAATATCTCCACAGACACTTCATTTGACCCTGGAATGAACATATCGGAATATGGTCACAAATCTAGAAAACGGCCTGTATGCATAGAAAACAGGGAATCCATAGGTGGAGGGAAGGTGAGGGTCAAGGAAAATCTGACACAAGGACATTGCCAGGACAGGCCTAGATGGGTACCATGATGAAATGCTGGAATTGGCATGATGATGTCAGCCTGTGACCAGTAGATGCCTAAAGTTTCCAGGCAGGACATGGCTGTGTGACAATAGTTAACTTACCGGTTTTCCCACAGGCCAATTCTACACACCTGACTTCCCAGAGGACTCTCCATGCCATGCACCAAGCACCAGGTGTCTCCCATCACAACCTTTTCCAACATGGAAACTGACTCCTGGAATTGTGGTAAGGGATGCCAAGCCAGGTGGGAGGGAGCTCCACCCAAGCTGCACCCCTTTCTTTTCCTCACCCCTGTTCCACCCGTGTTTTCACTGTGTTTCCTACCTGAGGGTGAGCCTCATACTCTCCCAGGCCCTGTAGATTCCACCCCTGGCCTCCCTGAGCGCTCACCTCATCTAAGCTATCCCAGACTTAAGAAGCCTCCTCTTCTGCTGATTTCACGCAAGAGAATTTTTATAAACTTTGTTTGATACAACTACAAGGAAAAGCAAATTCAAGTTTAGAAATGAGTGAGCAAAGGCCTCTCTGACAAGCATCAAAATTCTCCTCACAGGCTGGCTTGGGCTCAGGGCACAGGCCCCAGGCTGTTGGAAACTAGACTAAGATCTTGGCCTGTTCAAGTAAGCTTAGCTGGCACCAGTTGGACTCTTTGTCCTTTCAGAACCTGCCTGGAATGTTGGAGGGATGGGGGTGGGGCAGTCTGTCCTGGTTCTGCCCGCTGGATGAGGACAACCCCCGTCTACTTGACCTGCCTTTCCTTCTAGAGCTGGTTCTTGCCGGTGCTCTCCACCCCACCCCCACTCACGATGATAAATGGAGAGATAGGTGGATAGATGGATTTGGGGAGAAACAGCAGCTGTTTGAATACTCAGTTGTGATTCAGTAGGGACCCTGGTTGAGAGAGAGGATGTAGCCAAAGAGTTTAGAGGTTCTGGAATCAGCTCACAAGTGAAGCGGTGGCCTCACATCGCAACACGTCCAGTGAAGGAGGAAGGCCAGAACTACGCAGCATATGTTTGTATGGCTTCAGTCTGAGAGCTTCTAGTTTTACAGTGAAATGATTAACCTTGTCATGGGCTAGCCATGATGGTGGTGGAGGAGGTGCTGGTGGTTCATCGAGGGAGGAGAAAAGAAAAACTTATTGGGTTAGGGAAACAGTACAGAAAGATCTATAGTCCTGGTGTTTAAATGGGTCCAGTCCATTTGGCTTTGGCATTTTCTCTGGGCCTATTCAGCTGCACGGTACATGGAGAACTGGATTTAACCTAAGGTTGTAGTTTTGCCAAGTGAGCGAAAAAGCAAAAGCTGGGCAGGAGCGAAAAGGTTGAGGGCCTCCCTGGTGGTGCAAGGGGTTAAGATGCAACCTATGAAGCTATCTGCAGCCACTGCAGCAGGAGCTCAATCTCCGGCCCAGGAGCAACCCACATGGCACAGCAGACCTCCCCTGACTTGCCCGCTGCTCCCCTCAGCAGTGTATTTCAGTCAGTCTGCTGTCCTGCTCCCTGCTCTATCTTTAGTGAATCCTCTCACCCCCCACACCTCTGGCCTGTACCCCAGTTCTTGTATGCATAAATAAATAAATTTTTTTAAAAAAAGAGGGAAAAGGTTGATGCAAGGGAGGGTTGATGATGATTTCCCATAGGATTAAGGGCAATGGAAGGAGCACAAAGGCATGTTAGGTGGGTGAAAGATAGTATATCGGTGGCAGGGCAGGTGGATTGAATGATTTGCTGGAGCCGAAGGATTATATGAGTCAGGATTCAAAAAAGACTCAGTGGAACAGATGCATGGAGGTTTGGCAGGGTCTCAGCTAGAGGTACTGGGGTAATAGTGGCTCAGGATATGATCGTGAGCATGGCTCAGCCAAGCAGGGAACATGAGCATTAGAAGAAATCATTGGAAGAATCATCTGCATCAGTGATTGGCAAACAATGGACTACTGGTCAAATCTATTCTGCTCCCTGTTGTTTAAATAAAGTTTTATTGGGACACAGACATGTCCATTCATTTATGTATTTTTGATGATTGCTTTTATGCTTCAGGGGTAGCATTGAAAGCCAAAATTATATTTACCAGCTGGCCATTTGCAGAAAAGTTGACCTATCCTGGATCTAAATGGATATGGAACTCCTAATTGTTTATAATTTTAAGTGAAAAATCAATGTTCTACAATAAAAGCTTTTTAACATTTTTTTTATTGAGTTGACATTGGCTTACATGGTTTGCATTCAAGAAGTGTGGACTCCCCTTTCAGGTACTGTTGCCATAGTGGAATAAGTCTAAGACCACCCTGATTTTGCATTTTTCTCTATAAATAACTTTTTAAAACTCTGATTATGCATTTTGTAAAGTTAAGCAGTCCTTAAGAAAATACCCAAGTGTTGGACTACAGCTAATTTTCCTTGGTAAAAGGTGAGCTTTTAAATTTTTAGATTAAGATACTTTTTCTTACAGAAAACTGTTCTTTTATCTTTATTGTTTTCACTCAGTTGCTGTGGTTTCATCTTCAGAAATACCGATGATCCAGTAAATGGTTCTATATTCTTGTCATTTTTCTTGACTCTTTCATGTCTGCCCTCTTCTTCTCAGAATTCTGGGAAAGTGTCTCAAGTTTGCCCTCCACACCATACATTCTATTTTCTGCTCCTTCGGTTGTTTTTCACTGTCTCTAAAGTGGTTTTAATTTTGCTATTTGTTTTCAGCCTTTCTTACAATCTTTCCATGTCCTTTTGCCATGATATCAGAAACAGAAACTTGAATTACACTGAATACTTTGTGGTTCCTCGTGTCTACCTCTAGCCCACCAACACTTATTGTTGATTCGACCTCCACAGCATTTCTGTAGCTACCAACGTGCCTCCATGTACGTTGCCATTACTTCAGTTCAAGCCACCACCAACTCATTCCTGAATTAGAACCTCTGTCTTTTTTGCCCTCTGTCATCCCTTGGAGTGCATTTTCCGTACAGTAGTAATTAATCTATATTCTTAATATATGTGAATACATGTGTGTAGCTGGCTAAGTATGCGATATCTACAAATAGGAATATAAGCATATCTAATACCGATACTCATATAAACACCTTCATGTGCACATATAGTCACACACAATAACACTTTTTGTATTTGAGTCCAAAGCGCTCTTCTGCCATGCACTAGCCACAGCTTCTGTTTTCTTTTCTGAACTCATCTGGTATCATTCACTCGGTGCACTGGTTTCTTTTCCATTCCTCAAGCATGCAGAGCTCTTTCTTGCCTTAAAGCAGCTGCTTTCTCTGCCGACAATGTTCTTGACTTGCTCTTTCCATAGCTGGCTTAGAACAAAGACCACCCCTTTCAAGAAAGCAGACTTTCCTGGCTACTTTACCTAAGGGAGTGTACCCAGTCATTCGCTAAATCAGCACCTTATTCATTGTAACAGCAACAATCACATTTAAAATTATTTGCTATTACTGTAGAGCATATAGTTATTTGCATTGATGGTTCCATAGCCCATGGATAGATGCCCAAGAGTAGGATTGCTGGGTAATATACCCTCTTATTTGCTGACATAATAGCATTTCAGAATTCTGGGGCCTCCCTGGTGGCACAAGGGGTTAAAACGCAACCTACTAAGTAAGCTGTCTGCAGCCACTGCAGTGTGGGTTCGATCCCCAGCCAGGGAGCTGCCCACATCGTGCAGCAGATCTCTCCTGCCTTGTCCGCTGCTCCCCTCAGCAGTGTACTTCAGTCAATCTGCCTGTTCTGTTCCCCACTCTGTCTCTGGTGAATCCTCTTACCCCCCACGCCTCTGGCCTGTACCCCAGTTCTTGTATGCATAAATAAATCTTAAAAAAAAAAGAATTTCAGAAAAAAAATTATTTGCTATTGTTTTGTCTATGAACCCCACCAAAGGATAAGCTACATCAAAGTGGCCCTAGGTTTGCTGCACTTGTCTCTGTGTTCACCTCTGGTGCAGTGCCGGGCTGACCATGGGTTTTAATAAATATTTGTTGAAAGCATTGCTTTATCTTGTATCACTCAATTTTCTTCTCCCCGTATTCTGTCTTTGTGATGTTTTGCTTTTGCTTAATAAAGACTATATCTTTTGTCTATAAGAGATGCCCATTTATTAAATCTAATGAATCCCGTTGCAGATTATTCATCTGGCTCATCAAGATGAAGTACCTGTTCTCAGCAGCTTATAAAAGTATCTCCCTCCATGGGTTTTTTTTTCTATTTGTTCGTTCTTAAAAGAGGCAACATTGGTGTAGAGCTAGTATTTGTGAAGAGCTGGGAGAGCTGATGGCCTGTGTTTCTCTTCACTTACATGGAATGTTATTCTTAGAGTTACAGTCCAGGGGAGGTGGACAACACAAGCTCCTGTTCCCAGTTCTTGGTAGACATTTACCTACAGAAGCGCCATTTACCCAGCTGCCCTCTCCTACCTTCTCTCATTGGTTCTCTGAGACTCTACTGAGCCCAAGACGTGCCTGAAAAGCTTAGATTTTTAATACACTGCTCAACAGGCTTCTTTCCTGCTCTCCCATTACTGAGAGAACTTGATTTATGGAGACTTTTTCCTAAGATGTGACAAGGATCCCACTGCCTTCCGTTTTCTGCACAGCTGTTTTGCTTTTGTTTATTTTTGCTTTTCAGTGCCTCTCTCTGGACAAAGCCTCAAAGGGGATGGGAGGCGGGGTGGAGATCACCAAGAACCAGACGTCCCAGAGTAACTGCTGTGTGGTTTTCTGGTAATTTTGGCGTTCAGGGCCTGGACCTGGGATGAGGCAGCAGGCGGCAGGGCTGTGAGAAGTCGCTCCTCACCTCCTCCAGTTGGTCTCCGCTCCTGACGAGAAACCGGATATGCTGTGAGGAGAGCCTGGCAGCAGGTTGGCCTCCTGCCCTTCTGTCTGCCCTGTAGTTAATGAAGTGTGTCCACATGTCCCACCAGCACATCCATCAAACCTCACTGTGGTGATGGTGTCAATTTTTTGGTTTGTTTTTTCCCCTGGGGAGGCCGAGGAGAGGTGTACTTTAGGGTTACTGTTCAGATCTCATGAAAAACCAAAAATTGATTACTTTTAATTTTAGACACTGAGGTGATTTTCCTCAAAACAACATAAATAATGGCCAGTAGACATGCCTCTTCTCAGTCAGCTGTATGTTGGAACCTGGCACTGAAGGGAATTAGAACAGGAAGGAATTTCGTGTTTGGTTGAGGCTATTTAAAGCCTGTCTTCCTCTTGGCATCAATAGGCTCTTATTTTCTTCTGTGCTTTTTGTCCTAATTAAGCTATGAACAGCAGCTACTGCTTACTTCTCTCTAAACCTAATCCTTCCCCCACTTTCTTTTCTATTTTCAACTCTATGTGAATACATACAGGGTAGAGAAACATAGAATTAAATACCTCAAATGGGTCACCTCTGTTTTTTCAGGGGCTTTGGTAATTATTATGTGGAAAACTTAACGAGAGGAATTACAAAGCATGTGTTTATTACTCAGCCACAGAGGATTTAAATATATATTTTAAAATATTTTATTTCAAAATTAATATATACATATAAATACAATATAGGTTATATTTAATAGGCATTCTGCATATACTTGGAATTAAAAAGCATATGCCCATCACTCAAAAGCCGGAAGGATTTTAAATATACATA